GAGTCAGATGGGTCAAAAAAATCGGATTTGGGTTGGATTTGCCTGCAGTGTGAACGTAGCCTATGTTTAGTGCAACGAGACAGAACATTTTCGGTTCGGTTCGATACTTTAGTGTCACAGTTTGGGTTGTGTGATATGACTCAAAAATAAATAAATCTCAGATTTTTTTCATTCCTGATTCCATTTTCGATTTTAACGGAGCGCCTGTTTCAGGTGTTGAAACAAATTTGTTGTACTCGTGCTTTTTGTTGCAAGAGTCTTCAAACAGATTTTGCAGTGAGGTGTTTGCTTTTAAGGTCTATTCAGGGGTTCTGGAGAGGAGGGTCCGTTTCCTCTAGTTTAAATTTATTTTATGGTTAAAGGATTTAAAGGTTGGTTCATCAGAAAAAAAAAAACATTAAAATTAAAAATCCCTGCTGCAGATAGAAATGATTTCATTTCTATAGTTTGTGTCACTGCAGAGACAAGAGTTCATAGAATTACATATATTAAAGATTTGGGGAAGAATGTATAAAAAGTGACTTGTTCAGAAAACTTGAATCTGTTGGAGGTAAATATGATTCTAAACATATTTATTAATATAAATGTTTTTATCAATCATGATATTTTATTCTGATCACTTTTAATGAAACATTTGTGGAAAAACAGAGTTTCTATGAAGCGCAGAGCCAAACAGGAAAATCAGGAGGATTTTAAAGTGAACAGCGCCACCTGGTGTCACAATAACCTCACTGCAAGAGGAACAGAATATTTACTGTCTGGAAGTTCTGCTCACATATGAGACAAACCTGGAGGTTTTTAAGTCTATCAGCTATTTTTTTAGTTCCTGTAGAAGAGCTGTGACATGTTTGTCTCTTTCTGACATCCACAGAAGAAGAGTTTGTAGAGAAGCTGTGAGTCAGACTGGTTTTCTTCTCTGAGCTCTGCTCTCAGCTCCGCTCCGGATTGTTCCGTCCTGAACCGCCAGCCGAGCTCCAGGAGCCGCCTGCCCCGTCGTAGTCCTCCTCTTCCAAGTCCTGTTCTCAGCTTTTGAACGGCTTCCCTGCAGCCTGATGGATCTGGTGTCTGCGCTCACTTCCTTGGTCCTGAACAACAAACACAACGTCTGCTTGAGTTCATCTGCAAACAGACTTTAACTCTGATGCTTTAAGCTGTTTTCAGCAGCAAATTCTGCACATTCAGATTCAATCTGAGCAATTCAAATTCACTTCCTGCTGACAAGTTTTATTCCAGATTTAGCTGAAAATGTTTAAACAGCTAAACTGTTGATGTGAGTTCAGTTTGAACAGCTAACTTTAGCTGAAAGTATGAAACAAAAGCAGCAGAAACGAGATGAAGTTAGCAGACAGATGAACAGAGACTAAAAAAAGCTCAAATCTACAGAAAAACAAGAAAAGAACGAAAAACAAGCTGTAATTTGTTATATAATAGCTAAAGCAGACAAAATTAACAGAAAATAGCTTAAAAAAGTAGCAATAAGAAGCTGAAATTAGCACAAAAAGGTGAATTTAGCAGAAGAAAGGCAGAAAAAGAGCTACAAAGTAGCTAAAGAGGCAGAAAAAAGCAAAAATATTTCTGATTTGCGAGATAAATGGAATGAAGCATAAACTAAAAGCAAACCACAGCTAGCATGCTAAAGTTAAAAACAAACCACAGCTAGCATGCTAAAGTTAAAAACAAACCACAGCTAGCATGCTAAAAAAGAAAAACAGCTAGCATTCTAAAACTAAAAAACGAACCATAGCTAGCATGCTAAAGCTAAAAACAAACCATAGCTAGCATGCTAAAGCTAAAAACAAACCATAGCTAACATGCTAAAAAAGAAAAAACATTGCTAGCATTCTAAAACTAAAAACAAACCATAGCTAGCATTCTAAAACTAAAAACAAACCATAGTTAGCATGCTAAAGCTAAAAACAAACCATAGCTAGCATGCTAAAGCTAAAAACAAACCATAGCTAGCATACTAAAGTTAAAAATAAATCCTAGCTAAAAAAATGCTAAAGCTAAAAACAAACCACAGATACTTAAGTTCTTGTTAAGAAGCTAAAGGCAACATTAGCTAGTTAAATCTCAAACTAACGTCATCAAACTTGATAATTTAAAAAAAAGATTTAAAAACTAAAGACCTGCTCCGTTCATTTGGTGGCTGGACTTGTAAACACAAACAGCCTCCTGGGTTTTTGTGTTTCTGTCGCTCATTTCTCCAACAGAACCGGACCACAGAGAGCTGTGGGCTCGCGGAGCTTCACACATCGACAAAAAACACACAAATGAAAAGTCAACTCCCTTTTTGTTTCGTTGTTTAACTCCATCCAAGTCGAAACCTTCGGTTTATGGGCGCCGCCATGTTGATTAGTTTAGAACCAGTTTGCGATGCCGCAGCCCGGAGGTGGAGCTCTAAGCCCCGCCCAAAATTCACTCGCGCTCACGTATATACACGTTTTATTTTTATTATTATTATTGATAATTAAATAATTACTACAAGTCTCACATTGAGTATGATAACTGTTGCGTTTTATAAGTTTAGCGACCACGTTCATTGTTTCAACCGTGCTCTTATTCTGAAAAATATCTCGGAAGTGACGTTTTATTGCTGCCAGCAATCGAAAGAAAAACCCAGCTTCTCCAACAGTTTAACCGAAAAGGTTTGTAAAGACAATGCTAAACGTTTTGGGGTTGAGTTTTCAAATTCTTCAGTGTTATTTTCTACGGTTTTCAGACCGGAAGCCGTTAGCTCGATGCTAACAGTAGCGTTATGAAAGGTTTTTATAAACCCTCCTACGAAGAAGACAAAATGTGACCAAACCTGAGGTGACGGTTGGTAATTTCTAATTTAATTAGAGAAACTTTGTTAACTTCAATAAGTAACGGTGAAACGTGCAGGGTGTGGTGACTTCAGGTGCAGTGGCAAGCTGTTTTAGCATATAATCGGTTTCGTTCGACATAGAACTCAATAGTAAATCTGACGTCATGGGTGGGTCCTCCAGGACTGTCACACCAGAAAACATTAAACATTTTATGAAACAATGTTTTATTAATATTATTTGATGGCTGCAACACGTCTCCTAAATGTTGTATCTTTTAGTTTCCACAGATAAACATCATGGATGTCACTAAGGAACTGGATGTTTACATCCCAAAGGAGGCTGAAGTCTGCGTCATCCCTCTGAATCGATTACCGAATTCAGTACTTAAAAAAATGGGCCTGCCCCTCCCCGACAGGGAGTCTGCGGACTCTCCCGACGTCGTCTGGATTTGTCCCGCCATCATGAAGAGAAAGGGTCCGGGACCGGCGTCCCGCAGAGAAAGCTGCTCTTTAGAGAAGTTACAGGTGGTCTCCACCACGCTGCAGATGTCCTTCATCTCTTCCAACCTGACGGCCTGGGAGCTGCTGCAGACCGTCACCTCTGGAGCCCAGCTGTCCAGAGCGGGGCTGCTGCGTCAGGACTCGGTGCCGCCGGGCAACCAGAACGGCCTGGTCATCGACCAGGACCGCATCTACCTGTGCATCAGGAGGTCCGCCAGAACCCGGGGTCAACCCAGGCCACGAAAGCTGCAGCCAACCCAACCTGCTGGTCCTTCAGCCTCTACGAGCCCGGAGCAGGTACCCGAATCCCTCCACGGTTCTGTTTCAACGTGTCGTAAATGTGACCCATCGCATCGAAACGAGGAGTAAATCTAAAAGTTGTATCAGCAGAAACAGGCAAATATAGTTCTGACTGAAATGTTAACAAAAATTTCATTTAGTCAAAACATAATGAATAAAAACCTTATCAATGTATCATTTGAATGAACTGTCTGAAATATAATCATAAAACAAAATTTTGAAGCATTTTTTGAGCAGTAGCAACAAAAAAACTGATTTTGAGGAAAAACGCCTTCAAAGTTTGACATTTTCCCTGTGAGTTAGTAAAGTTTTGTTTCTTTTCATGGAAATCTCAATATTCAAATATAACTTGAGGTTTCGTCTTTAAAAGGACATCAAATATTCCTCATTAAAATGACATAAAATTAGGATTCAGACCAAATATTTATGTATTATTGTAACCAACAAGACAAATTAAGTCATACATATGGATTTAATCATGATATCAGAATGATCCAGGTGTCAAAATGTAGCTTTTAAAGACAATAATCTGAAAATGTAATGAGGTCATTTTGACTAAATTTGACTTAATCCTCATTTCGATATGATGGGTCACATATCAAAATGTTCGGCTGTAGCAGAAAAAAGCTGAAAAGGTTTCGGTTGCTAAAAATCAGCCTCATGGCGAAACAGAAAGAAGCTAAAGAAGCTCAGGCTGAACTCGTGCAGCTTGTCTTCAGCTGCTTTTTACAGCAGAAAGCAGCAGAGTTAAAGTCTGTTTGCAGGTGAACTCAAGCAGATGTTGCGTTTGTTGTTCAGGACCCAGGAAGTGAGCGCAGACACCAGATTCTTCAGGCTGCAGGGAAGCCGCTCAAAAGAAAAGCTGAGTCTCCGGTTTCGGCTGCCAGTCCCCCCCGTCAGCTTCTGGTCCTCGACGGCGGAGAGCAGAACGTCGAGGACGAAGACGGGGCGGGCGGATCCTGGAGCTCGGCTGGCGGTTCGGGCCGGAACAGTCCGGAGCAGAGCTGGGCGGTGAGGCAGACTCTGGCTGCGGCCTCTGCCTCTTCGTCTCTGAGCAGAGAGTTCGACTTCAAGGAGCTGGAGAACGAGGAGAAGCTCGCTCAGAAGAAGGCCAAGTTCCTGCAGGATGTCGCTGCGCTGGAGGACCTGCAGTTCTGAGAGCAGAGCTGAAGACTTCAGGCAGTAAATATTTTGTTCCTCCTGCAGTGACGTTATCCTGACACCAGGTGGCGCTGTTTGCCGCTGACAAACATGTCGCAGCTCATCTACAGGAACAGGAAGTGACGTCTGTTCACCTTTCAGCTCAGTTTAAAAGACTTCCTCAGATCTTTTACTAACACACTCTGTCTCAACCTGGGGTCGCATTTTCTCTTGCGTCCACCTCCTAAATCCAAGGAAGCTGATGCGTTTTATTACTCATGGCAGCTTTGGGAGGAAGTTGACTTTGTTGGTGTTGGTTCTGCAGGTTCTGACTCGGGCTGATCCACCCGTGAACGATACGAGCTTAAATCTGCCTTTAGTTTGAGTTCAGATGGTTCTGACGTGTAAAACATGCTACCTCGCTGTGCCGCTAGCCGTAACACTGCTAACAATGCTAATTACGCTAACAATGCTAACAGACCGTTTGATGTCGTCTGACGGCAGAAGAGAGACGCTGAGATGCTTTTCCAGATAGTCTGAGAAAATATTTGGTTCTGATGTGTAAAACGTGCTTTTCACTAGCTGTAACGATGCTAACAATGCTAACAGGTGATGACCACTCGTTCCCGCTCTGCAGAAACAAAAATGTTTGGTTCTGATCCGTCATCTCTGCGCTCCTCAGACACTTCAGACTTTGTTCGGTTCAAACGAGAAGCTGGAAGTCTCCTGGGATCATACAGTCAAACGCTCAAATTATTTTAGTTTAGTTTCGTCTGATAAATAAAAGTTTTGATCTACGTTAAAACGTTACTTAAACCAGAGATGCTGGAGGAGAACCGACCCGTTTATCTCCACCTGTTGCTTTAGTCGTACACTGAGAGTTTAACTTCAGTCATTTAGGTTATTAATTATTAGTTTATTAATTATTAGTTTAATCTATGAAATAAGAACAAACGAAGGCTGTCGGATTAAAGCTACGTTTTCTGTTTCTTCAACTAAAAGACTTTATTTTCGCAGCCGCAGGAAAAAGTTTAGTTTCTGTTTAGGAACAAATGTTTGTCTGTTTGTTGATGTGATTGATCTAAATAACTCATAATTATAGGTTTTTACGTAAAGTCACCTGATAAACAACAAGTATGAAATGTTTTGTTTATTTAAATATATAAACAATCTGTTTGTTGTTGTAGTTGTTTGTTTCCTCCAGCAGGGGGCAGCAGTGACGTTCTGAAACGACCAGTTTTAACCGGGTCCTGGGTTTAACCGGGTCCTGGTTTATAATGGGTGTGGGTTTTAGCTGCAGCGGCCATCTTGAATAGAAAATACCAAAAGTCGGTCAGATTGATGTTTGATTTAATAATTAATTAGTTGCTGTTGGAAAGTTTCATTAAAATTCATCCGTGTTCCACCGTACCAGGAGCAGGTTTTGGTCCGTTTAAGGACTGCTGGTCCAGATGAGGTAGATGTGGACCAGTGAAGGTCCTAAATTTAATTAAATTTATTTATTTAGGAGGGACGATTCACATTAAAGGACATTTCTGTAAAAGTGCCAGAGTTAGCTAGAGGCTGTTTCTCCTCTGTTGTCCCTGGACTTGATAAAAACAAAAGTTATATAAAACAAGGTTACAATGATTCAGCCACATTTTGTCAATAATACAATAAAATACAATCAATACAAGTCATTAAAAATTGCACACATTTTTTACATAGTATAAGAATCATTAAAACTAATTTAAACCTTCAAGATGGCACAAACACAAGTGGTCACATGGTGGAACCATGAAGACGGTTATACAAAATGTTGACAGATCTGTTGTTGTTATCCAAACCTTTAACTGTTTTTAAACAGATTAAATGTGGTGAGATTGACAGAGGGACAGAGTTCCTCTGCTGGAACTGAAAGGACACTTTGACTAAAAGGAAAAATACAATCTTCACTGATTACTACTCTCGTTAATCAATATGAGTTGTTCCTTATGTTTACAAACTGAGAAAGAGGTGGAGATGACAGAGAAGCAGACAGATTTCACTATTTAATAACATTTTAAAGTTAAAAACCATGTTTTTTAAAATATTGCTGTGGTGATATCTTAATGTTTTTTTTACTAATATTCTGATTATATAATGTCTCTACGAGTTTTAATGCTGTTTTATTTGCTTGTGACCAGGTTGTGAGACCGTATGTTTGTGTGAAAAAAACCACATCCATGCTTGAACAGTTTAGCAGCCTGTAGTGATAAGTGTGGTTTTATGAAGCTGAAATTTAAAATCCTGAATTTAAGACGAGTACAAACAAAAGAGGGAATAAAACCAACACAAACACTAAACTCAGGTTTTTATTTTCCCACAAGAGAAACAAGCTGCTGGTTTTAAATTAAAACTAAAACATAAAACTAAAAATCTTCCCGCCGTCTGAGTCGACGTTCAGTTCAGAAACTCGTGATGAGGACCTGGAACCAGGGAGGGATCAGGAGTCCAGGACCTCCCCTCCTGGTCCCTCCATATAAAGCTCAGGCCTGCTGAAGCCGGACCACCCTGACAAGATGCCCTCCTCCTCCTCTTCCTCCTCCTCCTCTTCCTCCCACCCTACCAGGCTGCTCACTCTCAAGGTACGACTGATTCACCGCAGCTTAAAACCTCTTTAAAGTTTATTTGTATTTAAGTTTACAAAGTTCTGCTGCTTAATGTGTCTCGGATGATTTTCAGCCTCTTAGAGAAGTAAGATAAAAACTCTCGTTTGTTTTTAGGTGTTAACGTTTCAGTTTAAACTCCAATAATTCAGTGTCGTGTGGAGAAAACCAGGCTCAGATTAACGCCGCTTTAAAACCAAAACTGACAAAAACGATGTGAAATAAAAGCTTCTTGTTCTGAAATGTTTCACAAAATGAGGCAAATCAGCTCAATAAGTTTTAAATTAAGTTGAATTAGTTTAAAAGGTTTTATCTGATTCCTGAATTTAAGATTTCTGAGAAATCCAAGATGAAAATCTGTAAAAATCAAACTCTAAACGTTGTGAAACTCTGCTCCTGTTTGATCAGTGAGAAAAGATTTAAAAATGTCAACTTTTCTTTATCTCCTGCTGGTTTGTTTCTTTCTGATAGAAAAACTGAACCTTCTGACTGCAGATGGTTCTGGAGAAAATCTGCTTTTTCATTTGAAACATTTGAGTTCAAATCTTTTTCAAAGTCTGACCTGTTCAGTTTGCTACAGAGTTAACAAATAATTAGTTCATTTATTTGCACACTGTTTTAAATTCAAAGCCTTCATGTTCTCTGCAGTTAATAACTGAGGATTTCTGGTAAAAGTGCAGAATGAACGCTTAAAGC